TTATTTTTGATGTTATTTATGTAGATGGTTTCATTCTGAATGTCTTTATTGAAATGTTTTACTCCAGATAAAGTATTTCATATTTGTATATAAAATTTGTTTTAAACATTATTTAACCTGAATGATCCAACCTATTGAAACTGTTATTTTTATTTTATTGGTATTTGCAAACAATCTTACCCATTATTTTTGACTTACTGACATCACCTGAATTAGCTGCGTATTACAGGCACCACCACTGTGAAGCTACTCGGCGGCCAGTGCAAACCCTGCTCACGACATAGCCTAGAATCATGCATCTGAGGGGCAGTATCGGAAGACAGTATCTCAATACAGTTATTCCTTTGATGATGGTGGTTTTGTTATTAAGTTCTTAAACAAATTCTTGATTGATACATCAAGAAGTAAGAAAGTCAGGTTGGGGATATAGCTCAGTAGCATAAGCGCCTGCCTGGCAAATGCAAGGCCCTGAGCTCGATCCCCAGGACCAATAAAAAATAAAACAAAATGAAATTTAAAAAAGTAAGAAAATCAGAAACCTACTTTTTGTGACAACACCTTCTAGGCGGATGATGTTTGGGTGGTCAAACTGGCCCATGATGCTTGCTTCTCGTAGAAAATCTCTTCTTTGCCGATCCATGTGGCCACCTTTCAAAGTTTTAATGGCAACTGGGATTTCTCTTTTCCCTGGTGTCTTCAAGCGTCCACTACAGACTTCTCCAAATTCTCCTTAATATGAACAAAAGCAGTTACATATTTAAATGAAATACTTATATTTTTAAAAAAGTCAAATTGTCACGGTTACTCTTAATGTATTTGGTACAGGGCCTCACTACACAGCTCAGATGCATAGTGATCCTCCTGCCTCAGCCTCCCCAGCACTGGATTACAAGTGTGCACCACCATGCCTGGACTCAGTTGCTGGCTCAGCACACCTGGGGCAGAGTTAGTGCGGCACCAGGGATCAAACCCCAGTCCCTGTGCTTGCCTAAGCAGGTTCTTAGTCCACTGAGCTATCTTGCCTGTCATTGTTATTGAAAAAATAAGAA